ACCTTTTATGTATTAACTATCCCTGAGGATCCATCTCCATTTTTTTTTGTCTCTCCTTGATACGTCTCACCCAATGATGGGCTTCAGCTTCCCTGACTGTGGAATCTCTGTCTGAGATCTTGCACTCTGATTCCCAGCTGGCTAGTGGGTGGCCCCAAGGCAGTGCCCCCTTAACTTCAGTAGAACTGGCACTGTCATTTCCTTCCCCCAGCTGGCTCTGCCTTGTATGTTCTCCATCTGCGTTCATAGTGTAACTATGCAACCAGGCATGCGAGCTATTAAATTTGGATCATAATGACTTGTTCCTTATCCTCCCTCACTCTCGTTACTTCTGTGCCCTGCCCACACTTTCTGGCCGGACCATATCAGACACACCTGTAGAGTTAGGCTCTCTCCTCCCTTCACAGCACCAAAGCCCCGGAGTGCCTGGGCCACCCACAGAAGCCCAGCCAGACTTCCTGCCTCCAGTTTTCTTCCCCACCCCCACCCAGCGTTCACTTTCCAAAACGACAATCTGGAAAATTGCTTGTTCTGTGTCAAAACTTTCATTGGCTCCCGACTTTTTAAACAGTTTTATTGAGATATAATTTACGTACAGTAACATTCATCTGTTTGTACAGTTCAGTGGGTTTTTTTTTTTTTGGTAAATTCAAAGATATGCACAACCTTCATCACAGCTAATTTTAGACCACTGTAATAATTTCAGAAAGACACGCTGCGTCCTTTAGCTGTCCCGCTTCTCCCCAGCCCCTCACCTCCACCCCTAAGTAAACCATTCATCTACTTTCTATCTCTATAGAGTTCCCTGTTCTGGACATTTCATGTGCATGTAATCACACAGGACGTGCTCTTTTGTGACTCACTCTTTTCACTGAGCATAATGTTATCAAGAGTTGTCCATGTCTGTAACACATATTAGTATTTCATTTATCTCTGTTGCTGAGTAAAATTCCATTGCATGGATATACCAGCTTTTGTTTATCAGTTCTTCAGTTGATGGGCACTTGAGTTGTTTCCACATTTGTCTAGTATAAATAACACTGCTTTGAACATCTGTGTACAAGTTTTTGCATGGACATATGCATTCGCTTCGCTTGTGTGTATGCCTAGGAATGGGGCTCCCTCTTGTCCTACCGTCTTCAGAATTAAGCACATGCTTCTTAGCTTGAGATCTGACACCCCTTATGATCCAGACTTTATAATAAGCTTCTGAAATAGAAGCTCCCAGGATCACCCTCCAAGCCTCGGTCCTTAGCATGTCCCAAGGCCTTAGCAAGCGCCAGATACTTACTAGGTGCTGAATATGTATGTACAGAATAAATGAATATAAAGAACCTCAAGCTTCCTCTCTCAAATCTGTCACTGTTGGCTCTGCCCTCAAGTTCCTGGTATCCAGTGTCCTCTCACTTCTCTCCTGCCTATGACAACTCAGTGTCCTATTATGTTAATGCCTCTGCCTAGAATCTGCTTTTCCCTCTCCTTTGGGAATCTACCCTTATCTTCCCCAGGTTGGGTTAGTTTCTCTATCATTTATGCATCTGTAGCACTTTGTTGATACCTCTGTCACAGCACTCAGCAAAATATATAATTATCGCTGATCTCGTTACATGACCATGGTACCCTCTAGACCAAAAATTCCTTAAAAGCAGTAGCATGACTCCTGCAAATGTGTGTAACTGTGACCTTGCACAAGGCCTGGTATATAACAGGTGCTCAGTAAATACTGTCACATGAATAACTGATTGTATCATTGCTTCCTGCAAAGTTTCTCCCGTGTTTCTTCTTTTCACTTTGCCATATGTGGATTTTAAAGAAAGCAATATTGACTTATTTTTCTTTTTAGTGTAACATTCTCCTTTATGTTTGTCATGGGAGTCTTGGTTATACCATCTGTTATAACGATAAAAAAAATATGGAGAAATCTGCAAACGAAGAAACAATTCTCCAAAGTTCCTTCCTTTTATGCCCTTAGCGTTCGTATGCTAGGATTTTATACCTTGAATCTCACAACAAGATTCTGCCAAGCATTTTGTTTAGCTCTCAGTTAATAAACTGCAGTTATATTCAAGGAACTTTCACACACACACACACACACTCACAATTCACATTAAGATCACCTATGCCCTTACTGGAGGGAGCAAATGTTACTGTATTTAAAGTGCATTCAGCTCTCCATAAAAAGTAGTACTATTATTTAAGCAGATGGATGGTCCCTTAGATGGAAGAAATAAAAGCTGTTGGAATATAGTTTGGGTTTTCTTTTGCCTGTGACCATATGATGTGTATCTTAGAAAGTGAGTTGATGTTATGTTATTAAACCCAGTGGTGTGAAATAGAAAGACTAATGTGAAATATCTAAAAAATGTAAGGAGAAATGACAGTAACCCCCCATAGGTCACTTATCTCTTTAACTACTAGGATTAAACATTTGTTTTGCATTTTTCTCACAGTCATTTAAATAATTTCATAGGCTGGCTCTTAGAATGTGGTTGACAATAGAAAACTATATATTTAATTAAGAAATATTTCTTACATACATTCACATTTTCAAAGACTGCTATTCTTAACAAGGCCACTTTTAGGACACAAGAGAATAAATTCAAATACGACTAAATTTTATTTAGCTTGAATCGCCTACAATTCAGTTGACAGAAGAGTAACTTGAGGTAGAATTAATTAGCCTCAAGAGTGACAGTTACCTCATTCCTAGCAATATGTTTGGGGTGATGTCAGTATCCTGAAAAGCTCAAAACCACAGTGCTACTATCAGCATTTTTATTTGAGCTGAAAGCTACAATGTTTAACTATTAACTATGCTTCTGGTCTGAACCAATTTCTCAGTTAGCAATGCTTTCCATATTCTGATTTATGGAGCATTGCTAAAGACTTTAGTTATGGTTGGGGAAGAAAACCATCAAACAGTTACTACTTGATGAATACCCCTGCCTGTCTTCTCCTAGAGTAAATCTGTCACTTTTACAAAGTGTATTTTTCTCTGCCATTTTTTGACTCATGGAGTTCACTCAGCTGCCAGCTCAGAGATAGGCATTATGGGCCGTGGGCAAACTCGTGGTCACCGCTAGTTACAGAGACCAAGGGAAAGCAGGTGGATCTCCAAGTAAGCTATCTGGATTAGGGCAAATCTCATGAACACAGCTTCCCCACTATTTGGCTTCATACAATAAAGGCAGCCATGCAGTGAAACAAAATCTTCATCAGGGAGGCTGAATCCTGGCTCTGCAACCTCCTACCCTGAATCCTTGCTCCAGTGACAGCCCCTCTGAGTCTCCACCTCATCCTCTGTGAGGCGCAGAGCCTGGGCTCACCTGGCAGGACTGGTGTGCATAGGAGTAAATGAAATAACACTTCGAGTCTCATAACATTGCGTGACATGGCTTTGGGCACTCAGTAATCGTTACTCTCATCTCTGCCCAGTGAGATTAATTCCAAATGTCTAGGGCTTCTTTACTCTCTTGTGACTATGTGACCTGGTATGCATTTGTTCTTAGAAAGCCATATATAAACACCAGTGTCTAAAAGGTAGGTCTTCACGGCATTTATACATCTTTTGTTTAATATTTGGATTCCAGAAACTGAGTTTCTTTGCTTCATGTAAAGGACACTCTACAACTGTAAATGAGGGCAATGTAAGCAGTCAATAAATGCATGAAAACGTTTGCAGACACTTTATTTGTGGTAATTAAACTAGAAGCAAGTAGCCCAGGTCAGGGAACTAGTTAAGAAAATCACATTATATAAATTGTGCAGATGTGCCTATAACTTATCGTCTGCCCCCTGTATCTGTAGTTCCTCTGCATCTGAAGATCCAACCAACTGCAGGTGGTGTAATACGGTAGTATTTCCTATTGACAACAATCTGTGTGTGTATAAGTGGACCCACACAGTTCAAACCAGTGTTGTTCAAGGTCAGCTGTACTTAACGAAATCTGTGAAACGTGGCATTATGTGTACGAAACAATGTTATGAGTATGAAACAGAGTCTGTAAAAACTGCATGTTTCATGTGTGCACATTATGACATAGTATAATTATATAGGCATGTAGGCGGATGGGCCAGAAGAGAAAAATCGAAACAGAATCTGCCATAGGCTGGTGGAATTGAATGATACTTTGTTGAAGTTCTCTTTATCATTGCAACATATTTTCAATAATAAAATGCATTGTTGATTGGATTTGACTTTCAGAAAACCAACTGTCCTTTTTATTTTTATTTATTTTTATTTATTTTTGCTGTACGGGGCCCTCTCACTGTTGTGGCCTCTCCCGTTGCGGAGCACAGCCTCCGGACGTGCAGGCTCAGCGGCCATGGCTCACGGGCCCAGCTGCTCCGCGGCATGTGGGATCTTCCCGGACCGGGGCACGAACCCGCGTCCCCTGCATCGGCAGGCGGACTCTCAACCACTGCGCCACCAGGGAAGCCCCCCAACTGTCCTTTTTAAAATGCTTTACATATGATCTTCAATTTTAAGTTTTAAAATTTGCGGCTAATTTCATTCAACGTTAGCTCTCAAGGTACCTTTCAACCAGAGCAATTTGATCCTAGCAACCGGATCTAGCTATTTAGTCATGCACCTTTTTTAAGCTGCCACGGGATGTTCTGCTCTGTGCCCCAGGTAATGGTGTGAGCAAATGACAACATTGTTCTCATGGGCCTTACCTTCTAGAAGGGGAGACAGACAATAAGTGAATACAAAACCCAATATAAATTCCAATAACGGTCAGTACCATGGAGACAGAACAGGGCATGGGACGTAGAGCTGAAGAGTAATCTATTTAAAGTTTAAGACCCAGGATAATGTAACTCGTGTACAAACTATGAAGATGGTGCCTCTCTGTCCGCAGTAGGTTGAGCAATTTCGAATGATTTGGTTTTAGTTGAGCCTCGCGTCTGTTTCTCAGAATAACCTCGATGCCAGTTGATTGAAGGACAAGTTCAGAAGGTGCACTTTACTGACATATTCTTGTGTTGTCTTCTTGTAGTTTTCAGTGAGGACCTTCACTCCAGCCTCTACTTTGTCAATGCATCTCTGCAAGAGGTAGTGTTTGCGAGCACCACGGGGACCCTGGTGCCCTGCCCTGCTGCAGGCATCCCTCCTGTGTCTCTCAGATGGTACCTAGCAACGGGCGAGGAGATCTACGATGTCCCCGGGATCCGCCACGTCCACTCCAACGGCACTCTCCAAATTTTCCCCTTCCCTCCTTCAAGCTTTAGTACCTTAATCCATGATAATACTTACTATTGCACAGCTGAAAATCCTTCAGGGAAAATTCGAAGTCAGGATGTCCACATCAAGGCTGGTGAGTACGGCTCCTCAACCTTTATTCGTTCTATGCCTGCTGTCCTTTTTAAAATGCTTTACATATGATCTTCAATTTTAAGTTTTAAAATTTGCGGCTAATTTCATTCAACGTTAGCTCTCAAGGTACCTTTCAACCAGAGCAATTTGATCCTAGCAACCGGATCTAGCTATTTAGTCATGCACCTTTTTTAAGCTGCCACGGGATGTTCTGCTCTGTGCCCCAGGTAATGGTGTGAGCAAATGACAACATTGTTCTCATGGGCCTTACCTTCTAGAAGGGGAGACAGACAATAAGTGAATACAAAACCCAATATAAATTCCAATAACGGTCAGTACCATGGAGACAGAACAGGGCATGGGACGTAGAGCTGAAGAGTAATCTATTTAAAGTTTAAGACCCAGGATAATGTAACTCGTGTACAAACTATGAAGATGGTGCCTCTCTGTCCGCAGTAGGTTGAGCAATTTCGAATGATTTGGTTTTAGTTGAGCCTCGCGTCTGTTTCTCAGAATAACCTCGATGCCAGTTGATTGAAGGACAAGTTCAGAAGGTGCACTTTACTGACATATTCTTGTGTTGTCTTCTTGTAGTTTTCAGTGAGGACCTTCACTCCAGCCTCTACTTTGTCAATGCATCTCTGCAAGAGGTAGTGTTTGCGAGCACCACGGGGACCCTGGTGCCCTGCCCTGCTGCAGGCATCCCTCCTGTGTCTCTCAGATGGTACCTAGCAACGGGCGAGGAGATCTACGATGTCCCCGGGATCCGCCACGTCCACTCCAACGGCACTCTCCAAATTTTCCCCTTCCCTCCTTCAAGCTTTAGTACCTTAATCCATGATAATACTTACTATTGCACAGCTGAAAATCCTTCAGGGAAAATTCGAAGTCAGGATGTCCACATCAAGGCTGGTGAGTACGGCTCCTCAACCTTTATTCGTTCTATGCCTGCTGGGGGTCCAGGTGGGCAATGACAAATATTAAAATGCCATCAGCTGGGGACCAATGAAAATTCCATCCTTAGTTCACTCTTCTGATGGCTGCTTTCAGATGTCAGAGTGCCTTACATTTTTGGAATGAAAACTCGAAATTAGTGGTTCTCTTCCTCAGGGAAACAAGCATGCAGATGCCTGCAAATATCACCTCTAGCTTTTTGCTGACTGAGGTATTTCTCCTTTTATTCAACATTTTTGCTATTTGAACAAGACATGTCAAGAAAGCATTCAATGCATTTGTAAACCTTTGCAACTCTATTTCTATAAATCGCTAAACGCTGTGGAAGTGGGGAAAATCCTTCTGTGGCACTGACATTAAGTTTGCAGTACAATTCTTGGGTCAGTTTTAATGTTGTCACTCAACAAATATTCCTTGAGCTTCCATTTTGATTCAGGCACTGTGCCAGGTGCAGGGAGTAGATGGGTAAAAAGGCCTGGTATATGGCCTCATTGACATAGTCCTTATGAAGGAGTCAGACAATGGACAAATAAAGTTGGGTCAAAGTTTGCAATGGAGAGTTGGCCTCTGTCCCAGGCACTATGACGTTGGCTGAGTATATTGTAAAAAACTGGGGAGAGAGAATCATCAGCTGAGAATCCATGAAAACCCTGTCATCCGTTCAGTGTGATACTGATGGCTGCTTTGAAATGTCAGCGTATCTTTTGACTGGATTTTGGAGTGCCTTACGTTGCTGGAACTAAAACTTGAAATTAGTGACATCAAGTTAGTAAGGTCTAAACTATATCCCGGACTTACTGTCTTCTGACCAGTTGATACAGTGACTGAAACTTTCAGTGCGTCCACAGCTCATTGCGTTTGTTTCCTGTCTCCCTCTGCACTCCTCCCCACCCAACTCTGTCCCAGAGGCAGGCCACGTGGGGAGTGAGGAAGACAAAGGGAGAACAGAGGATAAGGAATTTTACTGGAATAAACCATAGCATCAATGTTTATCGTCAGTAAAATAGCATCAGTCTAATATTCTTCTGTTCCTTGTGAAATAAAAAAGGGCTCTTTTAACATTTTTGACTGTGTCACATGTTGCTGGAATGTGGTCAGTAAACAAGCCCTGAACTGGTTATGGTCCTTTGAACATCATACTGTATTTTAATTGCCATTGATACAAGCCAAACCAGGAATACAGCCTGAGGTTCACAGACGTCAAAAGTTGTACATACAGGACGTATTGTGTCATTCTATAGATTTAATAAAGCCCCCCCAAAATACACACAGTTAGAAACCAGTTAGAAAGCAGTGTTTTTATCATTTTTTTAAGCCTAGGCTTTCAAATCCTATGGTAAACTGACATAATGGAGTGACTAGGAAAAGAGAATGTGACCTTGATTATTGACGTATACACCAGGTAGCTGGGGGAACTTTGTAATAACTTCTGCAGCAAGTGTGGAGGTGCCGTTTGAAGACATCACAACACGAGCAAAATATGAAATGTTTCTGAATTCCTGCATGTGATCTCTTTGATGTAAGCAATCAAACATTAGACTGTGACTCATTCTGCTAGCTAGTCATTTCCCAGCCATATTTTGATCTCCATGACATGCTCATGAATTTCAAGACATGCACAAAAACGCATTTAAGAAAGGAAGGAAAAGGTTGGCTTTAATCAAGAGATATGAAAAGTTGATACCCCGAATAATTACAATGAAGCAAATGAAATTTGTATAGGAACTTCTAAACCTGGCAAACAGGGAGACATCGCGAATGCCTTTTACTTGGCAGGCTAACAAGTTTAATGGTGTGTCATAAAAACATCTTCATAAACTACGAAGTACCACTTATAGTAAAACCTGGAACTTCAAACAGCTATACTTGTCTGTATTAATCTGCTATTTCTGTCTTGGGTTTCCTGTCAGATAAAAGAATTAAATGCTTACTTCTGTTTTAACTGCTATTTTCTAAATTTGTCATAGAATTGATTGTCTTTGCATGACCATGGAGGTTTTAAAGGGATGGAAGTTCCATCATCTTGTCTGGTGTCTATGCTACCCTCCCCCCTTCCACTGAGTTATGTGAGTTCTGTCTGTGTACTGTTATTCTTGACATCTAAGGCCCATCGTACACATGATTGCTCTGTCAGTTTGAACTTACAAGATGGATAGTCATATCGTCCCAATGAAATTACCTTTCTCATTTAATTTTACTTCTTAATATGAACACATTATAGTTGTAGTAGTCTTTTAGATTATTTATTGGATGCTGGAAAATCTGGTTTCATCATTTTTATGTAGATGCTAGTACAAAACTGGATGGCTGTTCAGAAGGGCAGGTGAGGGATGTGTATGTTACCCAGTGATGGCTGTAGTGCAGGTTTGAGTGGAATGAGCACTGACTCAGGGGTATCCTCCTGTGTATCGGGCCATCTGAAACGTCTGTGTGCCTCTAGGTTGGCATTGGAATTTTCCTGGAATAACCCATTAGGTCAAATGGCTTCATCATCTCTCCTTTGTAAGTACAGGGAATTCTTATTCTTAACAGTTTTCAGTGACTTTGACTTAGGTCTGACTGTCAACAAAACAGGGAAGGTTCATACATCTTGTCTCCTTAATCAGCAATCCTAGTTCTCCTTCACATGAAATACTTTCTTGCCCTTTTTGTTCTAAGGAGTGAAATGCACACGGATCCCTTGAAGCAGTACTGCCCTGCCCATGCTGCCTTTCTACTTAGCAAACGGTAATCAGCTATATGACCTTGGTCAAGTCAAAACATTTCTAGTGATTGTTTCCTCCTTAGTGAACTGTGCTTAATAACATTTGACTGGGGCTTCTGCGTATGGCCAAGATCGAGTAGCAGAGACAAAATGTACCCTTTTATCTGAAACAACAACAGCACACAGACAGAAATCAAATCATCAATCTAATCAGTCTAATTAAAAGAAAATATCAGAAGAAAGCTGGAGTAACTATGTCAATATTAAACAAAGTATATTTCAGAGCAAAGAATATTACAAGGGCTAAAGAAGGTCATTTTGTAAAAAAAGATTCAATTAATTAAGAGGGTATGACTATTGTAAATTATATGTGCCTATAAGAGAACTTTAAAATACATGAAGTAAAAGCTGATAGAACTGCAAGAAGAAACAGACAAATCAAAACTTATAGTTAGAGATTTCAATACCCCTCTCTTTTTTTTTTTTTTTTTTTGCTGTACGCGGGCCTCTCACTGTTGTGGCCTCTCCTGCTGCGGAGCGCAGGCTCTGGATGCGCAGGCTCAGCAGCCATGGTTCACGGGCCCAGCCTCCCCGTGGCATGCGGGATCCTCCTGGATCGGGGCACGAACCCACGTCCCCTGCATCGGCAGGCGGACTCCCAACCACTGCGCCACCAGGGAAGACCCCCCTCTCAATAACTGCCAGAAATAGACAGAAAATAAGCAAGAATAAAGAATACTTGAATGGCATTGTTAATCAGCTTGACCCAATTGACATTCAAATACAGAACATTCCATCCAGTGATAGCACAATACATATTCTCTTCAAGAAAACACAGATATTTACTAAAATAAATCATATTATGAATGAAACAAGAATCGGATGAATTAAAAAAGAATAAGTCATATAAAGTATGTTCTTTGACTACAATAGAATTAAATTAGAATCACTAACTATAAGATCTCTGGGAAATCCCAAATATTTGGATATCAAATAATGCACTTCTAAATAATCTGTGTCAAAGAAAAAACAGAAGGTAAATGAGAAAGTATTTTGAGCTGAATAAAAATGAAAGTACCACATCTAATAATTTTGGGAATGCCACTAAAGCAATGCTTAGGGGGAGAAATTTATAGTTCTAAAAACTTACATTGGGAAGGGAAAATGGTCTCAAATAGAGATCTCAAGTGGTCTTAACTCCAGAACAAAGAGCAAACTAAAACCAATATAAGCAAAAAGGAAATAATAAAGATTAGAGTGGAAATCTCTGAAGCCAAAAGTTGTTTCTTTGAAAAGCATCAGTAAAATTGGTAAGCTGGCCAGACTGAAGAGGAAAGTAAGAGAGAAGACAGATTATCAATGTCAAGAATGAGAGAGGTTACATTACTATTCTACAGATATAATCAATATATATGTATAATCATCAGTATTCTATAGTAGTCAAAATTATACAGATATTTAAATTATAATAGAATATTAAGAACATGGAGATGTTAATAAATCAAATAACTTAGATAAAATGAGAAAGTCTTTGAAAGAAATAAAATGCCAAAACTCATTCAAGAAGAACTAGCTGAATAGCTCCATATCTATTAAAGAATTTGAATTTGTAATAGAAAAAATTTCCTACAAGGAAATTCCAGGCTCAAATGGATACACTCTTTATTCTACCAAATATTTGAGGAGGAAATAATAAAAATTCTACACAAATTCTCCCAGAAAGTTGAAGAGGAAAGACTACTTCCCAAGTTATTTTAGGAGATCAGCGTTACCACGATACTAAAACAAAAAAAGGCAAATATTTCTCATGAATATACGTGTAAAAATTCTAAACAAAATTTTAGCAAATTGAATCCAACAACATATAAAAAGGATAATACAACAACATGTAAAAAGAGCTTATCTCCAGAGTGCAAGGTAGGTTTCACATTTGAAAATTAATCAAGGCAGTTCACCACATTAACTATTAAAAACCATGTGATCATTTCAATAGGTGCAGAAAATCATTGACAAAATACAACATCCTATTATAATAAAAACTCTCAGAAAACTAGGAGTAGAAGAGAAATTTGATTAAAAGAACAATAAAAAAATCCTACTACAGCTAACATCATACTTAGTGGTGAATGATTAAGTGCTTTCCCCCAAGTATGAAGACTGCAGAGATGTGTGTTTTCACCACTTCTATTCAACATTGTACTGGAGGTTGCAGCCAATGCAATATGGCAAGAAAAATAAGTAAAAGACATCCTGA